CTTCTTAATTTTTAAAACCTCATCCAATTTTTTTTTTAAATATCTGGTGACAAATTCTTGTTCATTCATGTTGATCTTGGGTACACTTTGTTGCCTAGACTTTTTCTGTAACAGACTGTTCCCAAGAAGACACAACATAGCTGACATTATTGATTCAAAGTCCCAGTGCAGTTCCTCAAAAATATCTCTGAACACCCTTATAAGTTACTTGTCTTGTTATGTCTCCAATATCAAAAACAGTTTTTCTTCCCACAAAAATGCATTTATTCTTTAAAATTAATTTCAAAGTCTTAATATTCCAAATCCAAATATTCCAAAATTTTCTGAGCCCTTAATCCATTTAAAACTTTCTATAGCCAAAACCTTGTCTTGCTTTTTGTTGTTTATTTTAAATTCTTAAAGATTATAAAAAGACATCTTTATTTTTATTTATTTATTAAATTTCTCCCCTGCCCATCTCCCCCCAATGGGGGAATCTTCATTTCCTTACATTAAATATTGAAGGCACTCACCCAGTGTTTCCAGCCTTGTCATTTGAAGATGTCTAATTTCTTTAAAGCAGTTAATAGGCAATTTTTGAAAGTGGTTAGCAAGGGAAGTGTGAACTTAGTGTCCTTTGAAAAGACTATTTGTGGCTGGAGCAAATACGGCAAATTCCCTTGGCCCCTGGTTCTCCCACCCTCTGGAGACCACTGCTTTGCAGTCTCCTCATGAGAAACAATCATATGGAGCACCGCTTGAGTGATCTCACACCCTCTCTTTGTCCAGATTGGTCGAAGGAGCCAATCTGCTCGTTGGCTCCCTGTTCTTGGCCACAAACATTGGCTCCACTTTTCACAGAGCCATCTTCAGTCTGCCATTCTTCCTCAGAAGTGGTTATAGACAGAAGTCTTTTTAAAAAAATAACTTTATTAGAATTTTAAAAGAAAAGATAAAAACTAACATGAACTAATATTTAGAATGAAAAAAGAAGAAAAAGGAAAGAAATAAGAAAAGAACAAAGACAAAAGTGCAGAAAAAGAAAAGAAAAAAAATAAAGTGACTTCCAATTTTCTTGTACAGCAGTTATAAGTATAAATGTAAATTGACTCTGATTACAACTTTGTTTACATTTTTTCTATAATCTATTTTTTTTCTAATCATCAAAACCATATATAATAATTTCATTTTTTTCTGTTTCTACAAAAAGTCAGTAAGGGGTTTCCAATCAGCGATTATAGATAGAAGTCTTGAGGAACTGCAGTACTCTTCATGAGGGAAGGAGAATCACCACTACTCTCTATCATTCTTCCTTTCTGCTCTATGTGTTCATCAGAATCTTCAGATGTCAAACTTACACAACTGGATGCCAGCAGGGCTCCATCGTCAACTGTATAGAAACAATGCCATGGATGCAGAGTCTTTGCTTATGTTGCGGGGCATCAAATCATTTTCCACAACTTCCTCAATTTGAGACAGGAGCTAAATGTGTGGAAAAGGGGGATATTTTGCAAGAAGATGCCATAAACACTCCAAACCTGGAAGCAAATCAACCTTCCTCTCAAGGAGCTGGGAAAGGGGGGCATCCAAAAGTTACGTGGGGCTCAGTCATACAGTGCTTACCACTGACATTTCATCTGTCTTTTACTTTTTGCACTCAGACTGACTCTGCAGTAAATATTCTAACTGTGATGGATTCTGGAGCTACAACAATTTCACAATCTCTGCAATTGCATGCATAGACTGTATGCTTTGTTCACTCAGCTGATAGAACCATTGATGAGGGTGGAAATTATTGATGGCAGACTTGGGCTTGGGGGCAAGTTTTGAATGTACAGCCCCTCTTCATCTCACTTTATGACCCTCAATAATATTTGAAACTCTATTTAGCTTTCTCCTACATGTTTCTATATAATGGCTTCAGTCTACAATCCACTAAGACTGATGAGATGTCCCAGAAATGCTAATTCACTGCTAACAGGACCAGAACAGGACCCCTATCCTACAAATCAGCAGGACATCTCTGCTTCCTGCCAAAATCTTTGACTAGGTTGATGCTTTTAGAAAAGAAGAGGACGAACCTTTCTTTCTCCTCCAATCCCATGACAATCTGATAAAACTGATTCTGGGAGCCCAGATTTTTTTCTTCTGTTTTAGCAAATTACAAATTCTGTTTTCTGCTCTATTCTCATAAGTCCCTTTAACAATAAAATAGAAGAAGTCCACACTCTGTCATGATAACCATCAGAATACTACATTTCAGCTTTTAGTATTAACCTTTTTGGTTTTGTTTAGTTGATTGTTGTTGTTTTCAGTGTTCTAGGTTCCCAATAACTCTACTGTAAAAGTCTGTTTAATGTTATTGCATGTTCTAAATGTAGTATTTTCAAAAAATAAAGCAAAATGTTTATTACTTCTTATTTCTCACTCTGTCTCGCTTTTTTTTAACAGTAATCCTCACATGTGGCACCCCAGATGATATCAAAATAGCCCTTGGGAAAGAAAAGGTGGATGATGATATAGTTTTCATCCTGATAGATCTTCACAGGTACAAACTTTATAAGACAAATAAAGAATAATAAAAGGAGACCACGGAACCTTTTCCTCTCAGGACTGTATATACATAGAGAGAGAGAGAGAGAGAGAGAGAGAGAGAGAATGTGTGTGTGTACGTGTGTGTATGCATGTATATGTGTATGTGTGTGTGTGTATGTATATATATGTGTGTGTGTATATATATATGTGTGTGTGTATGTATGTATATGTGTGTGTGTATATATATATGTGTGTATGCATATGTGTATGTGTGTGTCTCTCTGTGTGTGTGTATATGTATATGTGTGTATGTATATGTGTCTGTGTGTGTCTGTGTGTGTGTGTGTATTCTATACTAAAGTAACTCCCAAACTTATTTTTAAGTTCTGTATAACTAATGCAAATGAATATTTGCTTTTCAGTCATTGAATCCCCTTATGGAGAAAGACAGAGTAACTTCCTCTTCACTGATGCCCAAGTTAGTAGCTATTAAAGCTCAATACCTGTGGGGATAGTAGTTTTAAAAGCTGCAATTTCCCACATGATTTGCTATGTACCCAGGGCTGTAATACACAGGGCCATAGAATATGTACTGTAGGAGAATTTCCCCACTAAATTTCATTAGTAACAGAGACCAGCAACACCACCCATCTGAAGCATAAATTGTGTTTATGTACCAGAGGCTGGAATATCTAAAAAGGGGCTGGCATGTGACCCCCCCCATACAAGTTTATGCAAATAAAGTATACATGTAATCTGTGAGGTCAGGAATAGTGGTAATAAAGGTAATAAAGGTAGAACTACAAAGACAATGGTTTACTGAGAAAACAAAGGCTGTGTGGTTTAGAATAAAGGTTACTGTTTATGGTGTTATTTGCCCTGAAGTGTTATCTTTCTTGGCCTTGTTTCCCATAGCTTTTCTCACTTTCAAGTATTACCAACATTCTTTTGCTTTCTAAGCAGTTCATGGCTGAACTGGCATTTTTATTGCTTCTCTAAGGGGGTTCAGGAAGGATGACTGGAAGGGATGCGATCTGCCTATCCTACCTATCATCATTTTTCTTTTTCAGTACCATCTATAGTCTTTTTTTCCATTTGTCTAAGGATTTAGGGGAATAAGCAATGGAGTTTACATCCTTCATATTATTTATGTTCCTGCACATTAGTTTTTCTTAGGGTTTTGCTACTTAGCTATGTTTATTAGCAAAATAATGTCTTTATGTCCTATGCAAGTCTTCAGACTGATGCAAATAGAAAGAAGGCAATTACAGCTTCTTTCTGAGAGCTTTTATCATCATGTTGTAAATCTTCTGACACTAGCCAAGGCCAAGATAAAGGCCAAGATTTAGACAAAGAGCAGCAAAGACTTGGAGAGTTGAAAGAGAGGTTGCTAGCCTTATAAATTATGTCGGTGCCACAAGACTGCTAGCTTGAAGAATTTGGAGGCAAGAAAACTGAATAATCCAAGACAATCTGTGGTTCAATAATTGGAGAATTCCAGGAAGCTGTTCTTAAGTCAAGTCAAAGGTCCAATTGCAGGGCAAAAAACAGGAGGAATCTGGAACAGGATGTTCAAGCACACAGGTCAGAAAGCAGGAAGTCATTTCCAATAAGGGGATGGAGTCTGGAGGATCCACTTATATAGCCAGAATTCCTGATTAGAGCAGTTGATGCCCCCTTCTCTTGAGGAGTCAAGTTGATCTCTATTGCTCCGTTCACTATAGCTGGCAGTGTAATTTAGGCTTGGCACTATCCCAAGGTCAGGCTCTGATTCCCAGCTATCTGAAGTATCAGCCACTTGTATTGAGTTTGTCTCTTTACTCACAGATGGCTGATAGCCTGTTGCATATGAACTGCAGGCTGAGAATCTCCCAGAGGAGATTGGGGGCCCACCAACGCTAGCAGGGCAAGCTACTGTATATGAACAGGAAGCAAACCCCACAACCACTAACTGACGACGTTACCCAGTTGGGTAATGAAACATCTGCAAGCAAACAACCAAGCTCAGAGCGCACCAAGGACTCCAGAGCAATTAGAGTCATAAAGTGGTTTACTGTTTTTACTTGAGTCTAGCTTTTTTATGGTAACTACAGAAAAAAAAAAAAAAGGGAAGAGAAGGGAATCAGAAGATCTGTTTGTTTATTTGCTTTAGCTGCACGCCACTTACAGAGCTACCTAGTTGTAAAAATCAGATTCCTAGAGAAGCTGAAGCTTTTCTATCTTGCAATGTTATAAATAAAGAAAAAATTGAATTGGTTCATAGGAAGTTTCTTGTGTGGTTTTGTCTGAGAAACCATGCACATGTCTGAGACAAAGTGTGGCAGCTTTGTAGGATCTGAGTAGATAATTAGCATACTTTTGTGCATGAGGAAGCATGACAAAGACAGGGGAAAAAAAGGGAATTTGGATCAAGAATTCTTGCTGTTATCCAAGGGATTTTCAGACCCTGGAGCTAGAGAAGAGGTTACATATGCATACTATTGAAAAAAAGTTAGCTGATATGCTAACAACAAAAGTAAGCATTCTGCATCAGTATGAAGTAATCCAGTATACCTATTGGCAGAGATTGAGAGAACATTCTTACTACTCACAGGAAGGGTTATTTGATGTTAGTTGGTGGATTTAGACATCCCTACGTTTTCTTGTAAATGAACCTTGAATTTGTTTGGAGGTTCTAACAGGGGAGTACAGCTATCATATTCTGTTGACTGAAGAATGGTACATGTTTTCTATCTCCTATGGTCTCCTCTTCCTCCAAATTGACAACTTTGGAGGGACATATGTGGAACAGTGAGGGAGGAAGGAGGCATCCACCTCGTCAGCCAGATCAGCCAAATCAACCTTTGTAGACAATGGGGTGACAGATGTCTTAGCCAGATAGTCTTTGCATCCTATTCAGGAATCAAATGGGTTAAAATCCAGTAAACTACTAGTAGAAATATTCCTTGAACGGTTCTTGAAAGTCCAGCCCAGAGTGCACATCCAGACAAGTTTTGGGTTCAAGAGCACCATCCTGAGATGGGAAAGAGGACAGCTGAATTAGTGGAGGATTATTTGGCTGCCTGGAGAGTAGAAGCAGCATGCCAGGAAATTCCTGAGTTTGGCAAAAGTCCCAGAGGTGGAGGGGTAATGCCAATGGAAAAAGTGAAGTCCCAGAAAGCAAGGCTTCTTAAAAAGGGTGAGCCAGCGATAAAAGAAACCTCACCACAAAAATGTGTGGGGTTTTTTTGTGGTATTTACTCCCTCAAGAGCTGGATGCAGCTTTGGTATACAGTATAATGTTGCCTGAAATAGCATAGTAGTATAATAATGTAACAGTATAAAGTGGTGTAACAGACAAAATAGCATTAACAGTGAAATTCCAGGCCATTCCAGGGAAGAATGGCAAACTGAAGGTGGCTCTGCTGAAAGTGGAGCCAATGATTGTGGTGGAACGAGTTGCTGGAGAATGGATCAACTTCTCAGAATTCCTCTCAGACAAGGAGAGGATGTGGGATTGCCTGCAAGTGCTCCAGATAGTAGCTCCCCATAAGGAGACTGTAAGGCAGAGGTCTCCTGCAGGTTTAGAACTCTAAGAGCCGAGGGATCACCATCTTTGCCTAAGCCACAGTTCAGTGCCTTCAAAAAGACACTGGGTTTGCATACTTCCTTTCTTAATCACTGCTGGAAATTGCTTGTTAACTGATTTTTGGATGTTAGGAACCTTCAGAGTGGCAAGTTTTATTATACCAGTTGAGTCTCCTTCAATTCTTAGTGAAAGAAGTTTTATGAAAGTTTAAGGACTTAAAAAAGTTATTTTGGAGTAAACTGCAAAAGGGTGATTAGAATGTTGATTTTGGAAAGTTAGAAATGGACTAATAAGTCCATTGAATAAGATTTTGAAATTAACTACAAGAATCTTTCCTGTGGAAAAATGTTGTTTAGAATTTTATTTTAAAAATGAAGATTTTGAAATTAAGTATAAGAAATCTTCCTGTGGGAAAATGCTGTTGATTAGAAAATAACATGATAAGATGGGCTTTGAAGAAAGAACTAAAGATTACAATTAAAGGAGAAGAGACCCACTAATCAGAATGGAGAAAAATATTATAATTTAGAACAAATTCAAGGATATTTGGGGACAGTGCACTCAGAAGTTACTTTTAAAATTGACTGCTATCAGAAAACCGGATTCAAAAGAGAGTATAGAAGAGGAGCATGCTTTACTGGACAAGATTGTGACTGAGGCTGATTCAGATGTGGATTCAAAAATGACAGGTTACAAGAATGATATGGAAAAATATGTTACACTGGATATACAAATGAAACCTGCTGATATCTTAATAATTAAAAGGGATATATAAATAACAAACCAGAAGAGTGACTTGGATAATTTTTTTATTTTGGATTTACAAAAGATATATCTTTATATATCTTTTTTCACACACACACACACACACACACATATATTTATTTTTTCTCTGCACTTTTTTC